ATGGCGGCGCGGCGCCGCGCGGCCCTGCTCGGCCGCTCCCTCAGCGAGGCCCCGCGCGTCCGACGGGCTCCATGTCGGCTCCCGCCGCCGACCCGGAACCGCTTCCTGCCGCCCGCCGACCTCCGCGCTCCCGCCCCCGCCGGCCCGAGGCGGGAGCCGCTCGGTGAGCGTGGCCGCGGGGCGGACCGGCCTTCCGGCGGGGCCCTGCGGGGCCGGCCGGAGCCCGGCGGCGCTTCGCTCCGGGTCGGGTCCGCTCCACGCGGGGAGCGGCTGCGAGGCTCCGGGCCCGTCGAGCAGCTCCTGGGTGGAGCGGTCGGTCTGTCTCCTTCGAAGCCGAGCCTTGAGGACTGCTTTATCGGAAACGTTGATAAACGTTCTCTGAAGTACCCGATTCGTGTCCAAAAGAAGGTCATTATCAGACGCGTACCAGCTTTCCTTTTTCCTTACTGTAATACACACTAGTGCAGGTTTTTGAAAAAATATTTTTTCCTGGGAGAACTTGATGATAAACTGCAGTTGTGTGCCGAGCTTAGACAGCTGCCCCAAAGATGAGGGCAGCTGTGATGAACTCGCACTTCTCACTGCAAATGACACCCATCCCTTGCTGTGCCACTCCTGATCTGTGGTGTTTTTCTCTATCTGAGATGAAAAACTGAAAACTTAGTAGATAGCATTATAAAGACAGAAGTGCAATAACTGCTCTGTTAGAAGAAGATATTGGCAACCTTCACCTTAAGTAAACGATCCATTTTCTTCATAGCTGATGCCGGTGTTTTGTTTTCAAAGCTCTACAGCCACCGCTACAGATCAGAAGGCTGTTTCATGATGAGAAAAAAAAGTCACTTCTGGGTACCTGACCCCGCAGTCACAGAGGATTTCAGGAGCTGAGGTGTAAGTCCCTAAAACCAGGCACAACAGAGCAGGTTGACTTCCATCTCACACCTTGGGAAAGGCTGTTATTGCTCAGTGTGAATCAAAGGGGGGTGCACCTTACAAAGCCATTCTGCATTTCCATTACAAACTTTTATTTTAAGAATGAATCATTTGTCCACTAAAGTTTACCTTTGCCATACCAATACTTTGTCCTTAGAAGTAGCAAAAATGGTATTACAATTTTAGGGGGAAAAAAAAGAACTTACACATGAAAAAGCTCAGATACGTTCTGCTAAGTAGGATTCCATCCTTCCACTGCAAAGAGAGTACCTTTCCAAATGCAGTATGGACCAAAAAATAATTATAATAATAAATAAAAACTGATGCTCCAAAGGCTCATGGAATTGAGATTAAAGAGCCTTGAACAGCTGTTTAACACCAGAATACTGATTGAAAAAATTAACATTCCTTTTCCATATTTGAAAAGTACAGTTATCTTGTCCATTACCTACAACCATGACATAGCTGCCATAAAATACCACAGCAGTACCTTCCACAGGTACAGCCACTGCACACATACCTCTGACTTTCCTATGCTTTAAAGAGCTGTGCAGTAAGACACGCACCAAGATGCATGTAAAGCATGCAACAGAGATGGTCTGATTTTTGGGTGGTACTGTGTGGAGCTGGGAGTCAGGCTCAATGATGGTTCCCTTGCAGGTCACTTCCAACTGAAAATATGAACAGATGCTGCCCACGGAGATTCACTGGCATATGGATGAAGAGTAGGCACTCCAATTTAACTATTTATCTATTAATTTATTTTACTAAACACTAACTGAAAGAAACCACATGGTCTAGAGGTAACATGCCATTTGTCTCTTGCTAAACATGGTACAAAGATCAATTTGGACTCAGGTACAGTGCTATTTAAAGTAAACCATAGTGAACGTGAGCCTTAGATCAAGGATGTCATTGAGGGGTTTCAGCTGTCAAGACAGTACACTGTTTACATGACTAACATAGGGAAAGTGCAGTCCACACTGAGAAGGAAGAAATGAAAAGTCATCCATGTGGTTAATTACAATTAAGACACCAACACAATGAGATCCCGGTTAAATACACACATAGCAGAATGAGCAATTAGTACGTGCTGTAGAGGTAAAGCTCTGCAGCAAACCAAACTGAAGTTGCAGTGCAGCATAGCAGGAAACTCAAAAGTGCCCTCTCCTCTGCGTGCCTCACCTGTGTGGCAGCTATGGGGATAGCGTGCCCCTGAGAACCAGGAGAACAGATCGTGTGCTTGAAGGTAACTGGACCTCCTGGTACAGCTTAGGGAAGGATCACATCATGTAGTTGGTTTTTAAACTCAGGGAAAACTACCTCAGGCATATCACTTATGAAAGGAAATAAATGAGAGCAAACCACAGAAGTGAGAACTGAGCTACGCAAGAGTAGTTCTATCCCGGCCTTTTTTGAGGAAGTTATTCAATGTTTCACTGTGAAAATTGAAATAAAACAAGTCAAACCACTTGCAACATAAGGAGTTATCAACGGCCAACGTTTTGCAGACAGTTTGTCACTTCAGCTGCAGCTGAGACAGGGCTTCTACTGCAAACAACTTCCAGCTCAAAGCAAAACAGTTTGCAAAGCAAATGCTGAACAAATGCAAAGAGTTTCTGTGTTGAGGCAAAAGCTTGGGCTCAACAGTTCCCAGGCTTACAGAAAGGTCCCAGAAATGTCAATATGTATTTTTTTTCTAAATCTCCAAGGAATGCAGGCCTCCCAGAGGCACCGCACCAGCACTGGTGGTTGTTGGGGGTAGAAACAAAAAAGGAACAAGCAAATGGGCCTGATAGAAATGCTTCAGGTGGGGTAAAGGAAGCACACAGAACTGAACTGCGATGGACTTCACATGCCCAGCTTTTTTCAACTCTAAGAAACGTACCCAGTTCAGATCTGTGCTCCCTCCTTCCCACCAAACTTTGTTTGACTTAAGCAAGTCAAACAAAGAGACTTTGTTCAATGCCGGCAGAGCTCTGACAGATTGCAGCAAGATAAGCACAGCAGAGGGCGCAGCTGAAGCGCCGAGACAAATTCATGTCATAAAACTGCAGCGGGTAAGAGACGCCTCACTGCTTTCTCCGGATCTCTGCAGCAGGACCTTATGAAACACCCGGGCAGGAATCCCCTATCGACCTTGCCAACCAGTTGGCAAACCAGTTTGAGTCAGAAGCCCCCCAGCAGCTGCTCCACAGCTAAACACACTGATCTTGCCAGTCAGGAGGCAGCACAGGTGTTGCACACTTGGGTTGTTTCTCATATCTCTGACCAAGTTGTGAGAAATGAGCAGCAGAGTGTGAAACGTTCTCCTCCCACAGCACGCACACAGCAGCTACGCTGACAGAGCAGGAGGGGAACACGGCGTTATATTGCTTACTGAGGAATGCTCACGCGCTGTGTAAGTGGTGTGATAATTAAATTGTTACTCACACTGACAAGTGGGTGGAAGAGGCTGAAAACCTCTGATGCAGTTTGCCACAGGCAATTATAGATTTACTAGCGATGCATCTGTCACACAGAAAGATGGGCTTGGACTCAAGTATCTGCAATAGCTCAACTTTAACCCACTTCCCAGAAGTAAAACGGAATGAGCAGACTGCTGTGCATCCACAGCACAGCACAGACCCACCTCCAACCTACCGCATGGGAACAGCTGTACAATTTCACATACTCAAGTATTCATCCAAGCAAGAACTTGTAGACGTTAAGCCTTATCCAAAGATCTGGGAATTTCCGCCCTAGAAATTCTGACATTACAACCCAGTTATGTAGAACTTGCAAGGCCTCAGTTCTGCCATCTGCCATCTCACTTGGTCACTGCACAACAAAAGGATCACTGGCTCAGCAGAGGTGATCTGACAGCAGAAGCAAGTAAATACCTAATCGCTCCCTTCACTAAGCATCTGTCGCTCACAAGGACTGACCCACCTGCCTGCCTATTTAAATTTTCCTCTCAAGCTCACAACTGACAGTAATTTGTCTTAACAAACCTGGGAACCGACAGTGAAAAACTGAACCTTGTGTCCTATGGTACCAGCCCTATTTCACTATCAGCCACGTGTGAAACAAGTTGGTAGTGTTTAGACCTCTCCACATAGAGGGAAGATAATTAGGAAGAATGGAGGGGAAAAAAGGAAACAAAAGGTAACTTCTACTAGCAACACCTTTTGGAATGACCAGTATTTGTTGTGCCAATCCCACTCCTAGGAGAAACCCATGCACCTGGCACCTCATCACAGTCTTAAGCTCTTAAATTCTTCAGAAATGAACTTTTGCTGGAGAAACCTGAAGGCATGCCAGGGGTCTGTGTTCCTTCTGCTTCCTGCAGAAGCCTGTAAGAAACAGCAGTCAGTAGGGACATGCACAAAGGACAACACACAAAGACAACTGAAGTGGATTTTTTTCCCCAAAGATATTTTATTAGAGAAAAATCAAAAAAATTCCCCAACCAGGCATTACAAGGTCAATCCGTATAAGCCCCCCACATCTGTTCCCCATAACCACACCAGCACAGTGAGGATCAATGTGCAGCACTACAGTGATGATACCATAACAGTCACCTGGGGAACTTAAGCCTTCACCACCATTTCTGAGAGAAAGGTATTTTTGTATTCTGATAAGGACGGGGAGAGGATGTCATAACAGATAAGACAGGGAAAGCCCCTTGCGTGGACTGTCTTTTCAACTTGTATAAAAACAAAAATCAAAAATCCTTAACAGATCTACAGGCTTCAAACTGTAAGACCTAAAGCTACCTTCAAATGACTTGTAATTCAGTCCTGTGGCATCACTGTTCTGCACTGTAACAGCTTTCAAAAGTGTACAAGGATAGCATGGATGCAAAGGGAGGGGAGTGGACTTGGATCCTTAATATAGCTTCATAAAAAAAATAAAAATTAAAAGCAGTATAAGCACTTGCCAGTAGAACAAACTACTCCAGGATCTCAGCAATGGCAAAGAAGAGACAAAGCACTAACTTATTTAGATGACTGTATGTCCTCTTTTCACCTTCTTTCCCATAGCTTCGCCCTGGACAACAGTTTCCCTCCTGGTAATAGATGAGATTCCAATTAGAAATCATGAATGCTTTTTTTTTTTTTTTTTTCTTTTTTTTCTTTTTAAAACGTGGTAGGCTGGGCCCAGGACTGCAGTAACCTTTTCCCATGTCAGAAGGGTCGAGGCACCTGAGACCAGAAAGCTGTGCTGCCAAACCATTTGCTCTGAAGAAATGCAGAGAAGGCTTAAGAATTTTAATCACTGCCTAAAAACTGCAGCATGCGAGCCCAAGAAGTTGACCTGTCTGTTTTTCCTCAGCTTTGCTTATTCAACACAACTGCATCTGGACAGCTGAGAAACAATGAATGGCTGTTTGCTCTCACTGCGGTACCGCACAGAGTAACAGTTTGGTGGAGGGCACAGTTCAGACAGCCCTCAGATGTAGCATCAGCGTGTTCCTACTCTGCACTGCTTTTCAAGTTCATTCACGTCCTTCCAACAACTCCTCTGCCAACTTGCAAAGCAATCCTTGCATCCTCAGACCTCAAAGTTGGGTATAGGCCTTTGTGCCGCACAAGGCACAGTGACAGCAGCCCACCTTGCTTTGATGTCTCAGAAAATGAGGTTCAGCCACCTGCCTGCTGAATAAATGTTATACTGTTAGATGAGAAAAGTCTCCTGCTCAATTTAAAATCAAGTTTCTTAGCATAACCTTAGCATAACTCCAATTTGCTCTGTGACTGTATCTAGCTGAAGCCTCTTCTCTGCACAAAAGGTCACCAATGACCACAGCTTTCAGAAAAACTGCTGCATCATTTTGGAACAAGAGAGGCAAATCCAACAAGAGCACATGAAATAAGGGGGCCAAGGCTGGACAGCCAATTTAAGCAAAGCAGGCTTCTTCTTCCCAAGCTCAAACGTGTTACCAAACCCTCCTTCCAAGGCTCTCCCTTCCTCCACACTGAATCATCATATGCTTAAGCGCCTTGAGCCATCAGCATAAAAACTCCAGCTCCCACGGGGAGAAACACCGAGGTCCACGACAGGGACCAAACCTTGGACCTTCCTCCAACCTCAGCCCCTGCTGGAATGATGAACCTATTATCTTGCACTCACCTTTATTTGCACGAGGCTTAGATCTCAGCTGATCAGAACGGGGAATCCCCAGCACTGCCCTGGTGCTAGCTGCACAGCACCTAATGCTGGATCAGGTGCCTCACAGTAACATTACAGTCACAGACAGATGGGAGACATCATCTAGCCAAGATTATAAGAGGAGAACAGGCAGTGCAAGAGTTGGCTGCAGCTGTCATAGAAAAATCATTTTTATTTAATCGCTGACCCAGGAATCCCCAAACCCACCACAAGCTTCCCAACCCTTAATATCCAACAGGATTTCTGAAGTCCCCAGTCTTCCAATGTTTATGCTCCCCTCCCCTTTTAGGGTTCAAGTTCCTGCAGAATAGCTCCAGTCAGTGGGTGTCATCTGTGAGATGGCTCTGGGAGGACATGGCTGGGTTCCAGCGGTGTCCAGCTGGGGCTGTGAAGATGGGGAGGAGGACTTGTTCCTTTACTCAATCAGTTTCTTGGCCTTGAAGAAACGACGCAGGTAGAATACCTGCCAGGTGGCCAGTCCAATGAGACAGCACATGGAGAAAATGCTGAAGTACAGAACCCGAGTGTTTGTTGATTCTGAAACACACAAAATACCATCACATGGGAGTTTGACATCATAAAATGCTCCTTAAGAGGGCAACGTTCCTAGGATTTTCCCTCCCCACCTCTGAAAAACTTCAGACAAGACATCGAATGACATAAAGGCACAGTTACACAAGCACCAGCAATACTTGAGAATAAATGCAGAGGGAACAATGAGAGAGACAGTGAGAGGGACAAGGTAAAATTACGGTTAAAGGGCAACACTAAATAGTACAGAATAGTTCACATTATGAACAAAGAAAACAGAAAACAAAAGGAAAAAAAAAAAAAGAAGCTTTCTAAAGTGGGCCACAAAGGACTTAGGTGACTGCTTCAGAAGAAGAGAAATATCAGAGCATTTTCCTGTACTAGAAACAGAATAAGCAGCGACCACTGGTAATTGCTTGGTCTCCAAATGCTATCCTTGTCACACATTCAGTGGAAGTGAGGGTCTTAGAGCTCCAGCCCTCTAAAGGAACACGCTGTCTCTTACCATTTGTGTCCCTCATTTCCTCTTCCCGTTTCTTCATATAGGCAAAGTCATTTACAATGGACTCTGAAAGATCCTCCAGGCGTCTCAGTTCTACTTCTAGAGGCTTCAACTTCTCCACTTTAGCAATCTAGAAAACAAGACAGTCAGACAGTCACTAAGCCAAAAATGAGAACTCCCACATGAGCTTTTACTGCCAGTTTGAACCACTCCTTCTCACATACTCCAGATCTGGGGCATCTTTCCCCTTAGGGTAACAGCTCTGCGAGCCAGAAACTACCACTGCATAAAACACTATCACTTCTCCCACCTGTTCCTTAAAGCACACTTAGGTCTACCCCTCCTACTCAACGGAGAAGCACAGTACGCATACATGCACATTTCTTCCTTATTCAGCCTGAAGTTGGTTTATTCAGTTTGCTTTTGATGAGTGGGTAGAAGAGCCTGCCACATGGCTAAACCTCTACTGAACAGAAGACCAAGATACAAGTGACTGTCACTTGCACACATGTGCAGCACAGTTATACATGCACACTGCCTATTAGCATTGAGACTCACATGCTCACAGGGCTAAATGTTGTCATGTGTACCAGAAAGTCAGGCCAGCCTGAGTCCTGACAGCAGTGGTTTGATTACATCCACAGACACTCAGGGCTTTTGTAGTTTTACTGTTAACCTCGAGGCCAGCAGAGCAGAGCCACTCTGAGCAGAGATCACACAGCCACAATGTACTCCACCAGATGACGCTGTTGGAATATGTATGAGATGGGTTCCATTTAAGCCAGCGTAAAAAATTAAAAAGCTTCCCTTCATAAAAGCTGGTTTTATGGGACATCATTTTTGTGCAGATCATGCAACCTGCAAGTTACAGGCTTGTATCTAAGAGAAAAATCAACAGGAAATTCAATTAGCACAGTCCACAACAGTAACTGTTTGAAGTTGAACGTATAAGCTCAATTTTGTCCCAGTCGAGGCCATCACCGGACTAAACCTTAGGTAAAGTTGGTGACACAAGCACAGCACAAAGGGAAGCTAACTGCAGATCCTGCCACTATTACAATATATGTTCTGGATAACACTGTTTTTTGTGTAGAATTTGTCACTACTTATGAATGCCCCCACCAGGAACGACAGACACCATGTCATAACATCACACAGTGCAAGAAAGACACGCGACAGAAAATGAATGGTGCATGTTTGGGTCAGGCTGGCTCTGAAGCACTGGTCTCACCACCGTGACTCAGGAACGAGGCCAGGATGGCATCTCCCCGTGGTCCAGACACTCTCAGGCAGCCAATAGATGGCGCTCGGGGAGCGGGCATCCCAAAACGTTGCCGCTGGAAACAGTCCCAGGTTTCAGAACCGACCTGAAGAGGCACTCACGACCAGGACACTGCTAGCTAATCAAACACTTCACTGAAGGGTCTTCACATGACACACGGAACTTGGGACGCAGCAGGCCCTCAAGCAGTCATCTGAGTATTTTTATGCTGAGGTGAGCTTTGTATTACAGTTCTGCCAACACAGCAGAATCAATTTGGAGTGCACGTATGAGGAGGTAGTGGGAAATGGTAGATTAAAATCTTTCTAATCCTCCTGTCTTCAAGTCAAGAGGCTGTACGGATGAAACTCTGGGGCCTGGATTCATACTTGTTAGCTGAGCTTTGCTGAAGAATCAGCACTAGCAGAAATATGCCTATGGCCTGCACTCTGCTGTAGCATGCACAAGGAAGGCCCCAGGCACCACTGCTGACAAAGTCACTAGCAGAGCAGCTCCATTATCCTCCCAGATGGTGCTTTCATATTCACAGAAGGCTAGAAAGGTCCACTGGGAGAAACTTGGGCCTGCTTGCTCCATTCTGCACTCCCTTCAGCTACTCTTCATATGTATAGGTAGAAACACTGGATAGCTAATTTCAGTACTCTCAGATAGAAACTTTCTTGTCTCTAGCGCAGCCAACGTGCACAGCTGCTCCAAGAGTTTGTAAGAAGCCCCCCAGGCCTCGTGACAGTGAAACACCATCCTGGAAGGCACAAGAACATCTGGGCCAGCGTAACAACTGAGGCAACAAGGCCACTGAGCTTCTCAGTGAGGCCTCTTAAATATGCAAAGCCTAACTCCCTAGCATAGAGAGACCATGGGCAAGAATCAACAAGTTGCAGACCTGCAAGGGAACCTCAATCCCCAAGCCTTCCTGGTGTTCTCTGAAGAGACCTTTCACTTTTTCCTACCCTCATTTCTACATACTGAATGGAGAAAACCGCATTTCCCTACCTCAGAGAACTAAGGTGCTGGCAATGCCATGCAGCAGGTCATTAAGATTTCCTAGCCTTAACATCACCAAGTTGCTTTGCCCCAAGAGTATCTGCAGCTATGAAAGCTTACGAAGCCAGACTGAGACACTATCCCTTCTCCCACTGCCTATGTCCACACACAAGCAGGTCAGCATCACTGACCTTCAATCAACACTCTTCATCAATTCCTTAGCAGTTCAGCAAAGGGAACTGAAGGGGAGGGCAGATCACTGATGCAAGGACACAAACATCGTAAACAAGAGGCCCAAAAAAGACAGCAATTCCAGGACAGAACTCTGGGCAACAGTCCTCCCCGAGACCTTGCAACACCCAAAGGTCCTCAAAAAAATCAAGAATGCCTGCTAGCAATGTCTGCAATCAAGTGGGGCTGCAAGTCTAAACTCTTCTTTTCCCATGTTTGTCCCTGGATCTTTACCTTTGGTATAATTGCACTGGAAACAAGAGTAATGCATACTTCATACTTGCTTTTACGCAAGGTTTTATCAGTACAACCAATAAGTTGTACCAAACAGGACCTTTCTGTTGAAACAATGCTTCTAGGTAACACTCCTCCTCCTTAATGAGGACTACCCTAATGTACCTCAAGAGGTACCTCACACTACCCTGATGGAACTCAAGAGTATGCTGCAGGGTTGATTTAGAGAGATTCTGTAAATGCAGTCGCCAGAATCTTCCCAGTTAAACTCTCAGGGGTCACCCTGTAAGACTTCAACGTCTTGTAATACTTCAACAGCTGGTTTAGCCAGGCAGTTGGCACAACGACTGCTTTGCTCTTTCCTGACCCCAAGCGGTTTTTATTCTTCATGTAGGACGAGCTCCAGCCAGGGATGAACAGCTTCTCCAAAACACAAAAGGATATAAAAACTCCTGCCCAACCATCTGAGAAGTTCATTAGTTTTCTAATTGTTCCTATATGCAGTGCCCTTTGCTAGCAGCTTTCTATTCTCAGACATCTCCCAGTCTGTTTTAAGCAGTGAGCGTGGCAAACATTTGCAGGAACTTTTCTCCACTAACAACTCCAATTTCCTCAGGCACAGACTCTTCTGGAAGCTTATTGACCCCAAATTCCAGCAAGCAAAAAACATAGCAGCAGTCATCAAAATTCAGCATCCAAACCAGCCAGAGACTGTCCCAGCCACAAAGCAATTGCTATTCTGCACAGCTGCTCCTGAGTCTAAGAAAGCTATGTTCTGCTAAGATGTAAACATTTAAGTTTTTATGCCTGTTCCCAGTGTCACACCTTCAAACCAAACACCCATCTCACACCAACTACTGCTCTGCCAAATACCTTCACACTGATGCACTGCCAGTTCTTACACATGCACAAGTACCACTTCAGGGCTGTCACACCAGTACATCCTACAGCAAGGAAGGTAACGACAGTAACAAAGCAACCTGACCTATAAGAGGATCTGATATTAACCTAAAACGCTCTCCAAGGCTGGGGCAGGGGACACTGCACGTCTCAGTACCTCATTGCTTCTAATACCTATGCCCAGAAGCTGGGTCACACTGTCCTGGCAAAAATATTCACACATTAGGCTCTGGTTTACGGAGCCCGAATGAATTTTAGCTGATGTTTGTCATTTTTTTTTCCCCCTCTCGCATACAAAGCTTCACTAGAACAGTAGGTTGCAGACAAGCTTTCATCACCGCTGGGAAAACAGCTTCCCATCATGAGCCCCAGATCTACAAATAGCACCACGTGAGTGCTGGGAAAGGGGAGTTTGAAGAGCAGGCAGCCAGGGGACATACCTCCTCGTAGTTCTTTGCTTCAACTCCATGCTTCATATCCAGAATCACGAGCTGGTCCGGCATCCTCCCTGTTCCTGGAAGCATAATGAAAGGATTCATTGTGTGAAACAGTCAGCCTGCCAGGAAATCACCAGCTCTCCCCAGTGCTGAGAAAGGACTCTCAACATCCCGCCCCTCCATGTCTGCAGCTAACTGCGGAGGCAGCACAGTCCAACCTAAAAATACAGAGACTTCAGAATAAATCCTGGCTGAAGGAGAGCCTCCCAAAGATAATGGGAACAAGCTGTAACCAAAAGCACTAAGTATGTGTAGGATGCAAGTCGCTGTAAAAACTGCAAAGGATTAGAAGAGCAATACCAGCTGCTATGAGACAGCCTAGCTGAAGGCAAGTCACTGGGGGACTGATATTCAACTGGGAAGCCCACGTTCTTCCTTGCAGGAAGTGTACCAATAACTTATCAAGGTTACTGGGGTTGTAAATGATTTTACATTTAGACCGGAAGGAAGAAAGCTTCCATAATGGAGGAACGTGGCGTATGAGGACTGCTGACCTCCTCATGCTACAGCATCGCAGAAATTAGGGCAGCATCTTTTCCAAAATGTCTTTGTCCAGGGAATTCAGGGAATGAACTGACCAGATGTCTTAAGATCCACACTGCTAATGCAAATCTCAAGATGCCAGGAGACTAACGAAGGTTGCAGTCAACAGCACAACAGGTTAACTTGTTAACTTTTAGGGCTATAGAAGCCTATCTCTAATAGCTTTTTTGTTTGTTTGTTTTCAATGGCTACAAACTATCATATCTGGGAATACTCACAAGAAAGAAAGAAAAAAAAAAGGCTATGTATTCAAGATACTCTAAAGAATGTAGCACATCAGCTGACCTGAGTATCGTATTCCACTATACCACCCACCAAGGAAATGTCTGTACATAACACATTCCTAAATCCCAGCACTCTGAGGTATATGGATGTCCTCAGCTAGCTGCCAGAACAGCACAACGTTTGAATTCATTCACACTACAAACTTCAGAGCCTTTACCCAGGAGCATGTCCAACACTCACACTGCCTGAGGTGACTGCCAGGTGGACAATCTCTCAGTTCACAAACAAATTCAAAGTACAGGTTACACAAGGTAACTCCAGTCAGAGCTAGGAATGTATTCCAGACCTTCAATAGGGCACCTCTAAGTTTTTTCTCTACTCACCAAACAGCTCTTCCAACAACAGAGTGGAATCAGCTGCATGTTCTAGTGCTACCAGCACATGGAATAATCTCCTAGCAACACGGCCCATATCAACTACAAACTATTACTTAGATTTCCTAGGTTTCCCAAGTTCCTAGGTTTCCTCAAACTCAGCTGTTTGAGGAGTCTAATGGATAAACTAGGATTAGGATGGAACTCTTTGGTTTTCTTATACAAGGTCAGATACCGCAAGAATAAACTTAAAACCCAGCACTGTTCTTGAACAGACACGTCGACTACAACCACCCAGTGCTCCTTTCTCCAGCCAACAAGCTTTGACCACCTACGCCTTATATCATCATGCCTGGAGACTGGTAGGCAGGGTGGCCAACAGTAGCTGCAGAAAAGAAATGCAAAGCACACAGTTTCGATGAGAGGTTTTTTCTATGTTTAAACTACAGCAACTCAGGGGGACAGCTGGAGCTTCCAGGAAGGAACGAGAAAAGATGAATAGGCCAGCAAACAGGAAAACAGAACTGGAAGGATTCAGTTGTCAGGCTGGAAGGGAGAGATGCCAGGAGGCAGAAAGAAAGCATTAAAAATGAGAGCTGCTGGGTGCAAAGGGGCGGAAAGCAGACGTTCTGCATGAGGTTAACATTGTTGGGGATTGTCCTGGAAAAACCGAAGCTGCACTTCTAGAAGTGTTCTGAGCTTCCCTTAAGCCTGTCAGATCCTCAGTAACTCCCTGCTCCTCCTGCAGCTGGTGCTCACCAGAGCAGAGCAGATCAGCAGCAAAGGAAAAACAAATAGTAACTACCAGAGGTCTTGAACTAAACTAACCAGCTGATACCCACATCTCCCACTTGTAAGTGTTCAAGAGGCCATCTCAAACAAGCACAGAGCTGTTTCCTGGCAGACAAAGGAAGCTCCTAATTTGCCAAGTCAAAGGATAAACAAGATAGTCGAACTGCATGTCAAAAATGTTTCGCAGAGAAATGGCAGAATAAATAAGTCATTAAACACGAGGTTGGGAAACTAAAGATTACAGAATGAGCAGAGAATTAAAGATGGAGCAGGCCTTTTAGCCTGGGGTGTAGTGGTAGGACAAAGAGTAACAGCTTTAAACTAGAAGAGGGTAAGTTTGGATTCAAGAAGCACCCTAAGACCTCCTGCACTCTCATAACATGTACCTTCTACACAGCATCTCCTTCTCACTTCTTCTTCCTTATTTCTGTGGTTAAGGATTGAGAAATCCCAGTTGCTTAGATCCTTCAGGGCCCAACGGCTCCAGGCTTCCTCTACCAACAGTTCTCCTCTGCCAGTACTCCACCAACATCCTCCTTAGCTGGAGCACTAAAAGTCCTGATTGCCTACTTGAAGAAACTATGAAAAAACAAAACTTTTTGAAGAGAAACACGGGGAGAAAAAAGATCTCAGTCAGTTTTCTCATTCCCCTGCCTGCATTATAGAGGAGCAAGGCACCTCTTGCTACATGGCTACTTCTTCCGAATCGACCTAATCAAATCCGGCAGACGATCAGGCCTCACGGTTCTACCACACTTATTTCAATATTTTTGTGATACCCACTACAGGTATGGAAATCAGAACATCTCCATCATGCAGTATGTATCATTAGCAAGGATTATGCCCCCCAAAAAAAAGAAACTGGTAGCTCAAAGGGACCTAAAGAGAAAGCCTTCAGAAGAGGATCCAGCTGCTGAATTGAACAGCTCTAGATTTTGGCACTTTGATCCCCCACTGGTCACCAAGTAAAGCTGGACTTAGAAATATTTTTCCTCATTGGGACCAAAAGCTTTAATATAAGCTTCCAACAAGACAGGGCAGCCAAGGAACAAACCTTTGATAGAATCAAAAGAGCTGTTGAGAAGCTCAGTCTAGGCAAGAAACCCCTGGTCACAAGCACTGAAAGTCTAGACACAGCTAAAGAAAGAAACCTTTCCCACTTCATTGTGTGACCACACAGAAGCTAGAAAGGATTTATTGGACTGTCTGGAGACCTCCCAAACACCCAGGTGTTGGACAGTACATAGCAGGAGTGACTCTCCCATATGAGTCACTAGCACCTGCATGTCTTGATGTGTTAAGGAACACTGAGAAGCCCTACCTTTGCAGTGAAATAAAAGCAAAACTCTGAGCACTTAGAGTCACCATTTCATCTGAAAAACACGATAGAAGAGGTGCTACAAGCCAGATGTCTCTTAATAAAAGATACCTTTCTGTATCTGACAAGTTCTCTTCAGCTTGCAAACTATTTGCATGTCATACATGGAGCAGAAGAGCAAAACAGATGCTGCATTTCAAGAGATACGAGGAATGCTGCTAGTGACTGCTCTGTAAAGAACTTTGAGATCTTCTAAGATAAGACATGGGAGAAGTGGCTCCAGGGAGCAGAACTCCAACAGTGACGGTGAAAAGATACAAGCACCTACAGACTTGCACATACTCAAAGCAAACCAGACTGGAGCCTATGTCAGCTGCTTTCAGCACATCTGTCCTGAAGCTGAGCCCAGCCACTCAAAGCAGCACATGCGTCACGCTCAAAGGAAACGAGCCTCAGTGCTCGTTAGGCAACCATCCCTGCAGCACAAAGGCAATACTGACGTCCTGCTCATTTCCTCTTCCCTTTACTGACCGCTCAGCAGCTATGGGTGCAAATGAAGGCCACGCTCTTTGATACACACACAGGAACTCCAGAAAACAGCTGCTAGCCTAACAGGATTGCTGCAAAATACACATTCTATTGAGATTACATTCTACCAAAGGAGAGGAGTGGGTCAACATGACATAAAAGCTATGTCCCGGAGATGAGGGTATTCTGCTTTGTCCTTGCTTGACTGCAGGATGGCAGGAACCATGAAAAGAACAAGAGAGGTGTGTTTTGCTCCTTGCTACCACCATTCATAGCAACTGCGGTAACCTGTGTAGGAGGAACACAATTCCCCTTTCTTTTTCCTGTTACAGAAGAAACCTGAGCACTCTACACAACAGCCACAGAGGAATACTTAACTTCCAAATGCAACACAGACAGCAGATATTCTGCACCATGGAGAATACACACAAACTCCTGAAACACAGCTTTAAAAGACAAGATGTTCTGCAGACTATGCTCAGGATAACTTTACACATTCCACTAACCCAAACATCCACATCTACACCAACTTCATTAGAAGGTGAAGGCAGCCAGTGGTTCTTTCACTTACCCACAGGAAGCTTGCTCTCAAAGCAGGCCTCAAACATGTCATAGTCTTCAGTGGTAAAGGCAAACTTGCCCTTAGTAGCATCCTCTTTAGCATACAGGATGTGCCCCGCTGAGTCAGTTATCTGTAAAAGAGATAATAAGAGTAAGGAATGCAGTTTTTCACTGCCGTAGGCTCACACTACAGAGTTTTGGCAGCGTAAGAAGTAAAAGACATCTCCTAGCCTCCCTATTGGATCAGATACTTTTCTTTTTACAGTTTTCCTCCTCCCTGGCAACTACATCAAACTCTCTCCTACTCGTCCTCACTGAGCTGACAAAGTCAGAGTGCCTCTCAGGTAATCACTGACTCTCACATTAAAACAAATATACAAAACAGACAAAAAGTAAAAGAAAACAGAACAGAAAAAGAAAACCAACCCAAAACTGAAAGCCACACTAATTTCTTTTCCTCTTATGACAGCTGAATACAGACTACCTTTAGGAACTCTAGATGTATGAAGTGTCAACCACTGCCTTCTTTCTGCAAATAAAATTTATAAATTCCCATAGTAACAAATACAGAGAAGTCTTATGTACAAAAAAAGACTAATTTCCTACAGGATGAGATGGAGAAAGGCACATCTATTTCTCCAGAAATGAATGATCTGCGCAGCCCTGAGTTACGCAAGGTCTGAGTGCCAGCATCCACAACAGTCAGTTCAGAGGACAATTCAGACTGCACAGACAGAATAATGACTGCTTTGCACCACATCTATGAAACTACTAAGAATAGGTAAAAACAGCGCGTCTGTAAAAATGCTTCAACCAAGAGTTAAAAAAAAAAGACACACACTACGTGGCACAGGCTTGAGAATTACCGTGCCCAATGAGGAGGTCCAATCAGATGAAATACATTGACCAACAAGTTGGGTGAAAAAAAAGAAGGTATTACAAAACCGTGTGAAAATCAACAGCATGCTTCCCACTGGAATGTATCCCAGTTTCCCTCAACAGATACGTTTGAAAAGCTTGGAACTAATTTCAAAAGCACAGAATACAGAGGTACACAAAGTATTCTGTGTACAAGGAGGATAGGTTGGCCATTTTCCTTCCCTCCACCTTAAACAGAAGAACAACTGTGCAATCTAACAACTTGTTTCCCCATGAGAAATAAAACAAACCATACAGAAAAGCTACATACCTAACACAATTTTTGGGAAACACTCCAGTTTTCCTACCCGAGCATCCAATTAACTCCCCAGAGGACACTGAGGCCTACCTCCTACTAAGATTCGGAACCTCCTGATAACAAGAGCTGCTGCACTAGACAAAAGAAATAATAAACCCTCAAGCCTTCAGGTGTAAGGCAGTAGGAAAAAACTTCCTATACATAGAGTATTTCATAATTGCCTGTTACAGGTTTTGTTGTGGCTTCCCCTGCGCCATGTGGCATTTGTCAGCATCTGAGAACAACACAGAGCACTGCTGTGGTGTAGCACTGCAGTTCCTTTCCAGAGCTCTACCCGTACTGAAGCAGCATGCAGATACACATCCGCCCAACGCAGGCAGGCACAGGCAGCTGTGCTGCTGTTCTCCTTGCAGCACAGACTGTATCCTGCTTGGAAGCCACCAAACTACTGGAAGCATTTAGCTCAAGCGAGCAGGTTCTTCTGCAGTGCAGGACTGCCTGCATTTGGTCGTGGCAAAAGAGCTTAGATTCTGGTCACTGCACACCGTTCAGCAGTGTAGTCCTGATTAACCAAGATACTGATGGTGTATCTGGGCTGATATCGTATCGTCTGCACAGTGGGTTCTCAGTCCCAAGAATGGCGACAAGGACACTGTAAAGAAAACTTTCAGATGACCCCATTATGTTGCTCCCTTGGGGCTTTCCATAGACCAGAGCTAATCTTTAGCTAGAGGATATCGTGCAGCTTAATCAGTTTCTGTCCTTTATAGTTCTAGCAGTACCCTGCTCATAAAAAGGATTTCAGACAGCCAAAGCTCTGCTATCTGCTTCCATCAATATTGAATGCTGTTACCCAAATCAGCCAAATGTCCATTCATCTGGGCCCGCGGGGGTGGGAGAAGCTGCTAATAGCCCAGCCAGAACACTTGAGGGGGAGAGGCTGTCCTGAAAAGGATTGTTCATGATATTCAAACGTTATTTACAGTAACACAACCCTCCACAGACACGGCATTGTTCGCCCTTGACAAACAGCCCAGCAATTCCCCAAGCCACCAGTCCCAACAATGGCACTGACGCACGTGACCGGGCCTGAGCAAGACGTCAGCCACCCATGGGCCTCCCTCCTGGAGCCAGCTGGCAGATTGCGCGGATTCCTCCCAAACAGAGGGTGCCACTGTTAGTGTTGGAGCATCACAAACACAAAGCTCAGCCCATGGACAGGAACCATACCGAACACAGCCAAAATTAACTACCAGCCGCCTACGCTCCATGGCCAATCCAGGGATTGCAGCCAGCTGTCTAGTGTGGGGGGAGCGAGACCACCTGCAGGTACGATGCCCACAACTAACCTTCCCACAGAAAAAAAAGACACAAAGAAAAAGCAGGATGCACCCAGCCCAGGGGCTGCAGCACTTCCAGCAGGTCCAGCGGCTGGGAGCCATCACATACCTGAGCCGTAAGAACGGGAGAAGGAATAGCATGGACTCATTTCTCTTTTGTAGCTTTTTGGAATACTACAGGACATTTATTTATTTTACATCAAATTGATTTTAGAGCTCCTTCTGTGAGCACTCCTGTTTGGATAACTGCTTCAGCAGCAAAGCCCGACTCCAGAATGGGATTTACTGCCTTGCCACCTGCTAAGACCACTATAAAAAAAGGCAAGGTTTGGAGGAGATGCAGCTATAGCAGTACAACAGGCAATGAGGGTTCCTGACAAGAGAGGCAGGCATATGGCACTCAAGCGGAAATACATACACCTTAGCAGGCAAACATTAGAGCAAGACTGTAAAGCATTATGTATGTAAGCTGTATGTCCGTCTATACACAAACTTCCTCTTACAAATGATGTAAGATAGCAGAAAAAATATATTAAAAAAGAAAAAGGCTTCCAGAGCAGCGTGCTCTGTCCTTAATCAAACACAGCAGCCAACCTCACAATGCCTCCAAGCATCTGAGTGCAGTGCTGGAGAGGCAGCCTGGTTTCAGCAGCTATTCTACTCTCACCGTGTAACACAGCCACTTCTGAGCCCTGAGCAGCCCACCCCGTCAGCAAGTGCTGTGTGGTAACTTCTGAAGGCTGTGGGAGCTTTGACAAAGACTAAAGGCACACAGAGAGCTGTTAACAACCGATGACGGCGCAGCAGGCCTTACATAACTAGCTGGGAAATCTGAAGAAATGCAGGTTGTAGGCAGAAATACTCGAGGTGTGTTTTAACAGCTGCTCGTCACATCGACAGGAACATTCTCAACGCTGTTCAGCCTTCCCCTGCGCCGCAGAGAGGTGCTTTAGGCCGTACCCTGATAGCTCCTTCTGCCGTGCCAGCGGCGGAAAGCGAGAGTACGTCACTAAGCCCCGTGAGCCGCCCGGCTAAGCTCAGCACGACTGCACAAGGGGCGTTCCAGACCCCCTCCCCACTGCTCCCTGCCCACGCCGCACAGCACGAGGCAGCTCCGCGAGAGCCACGTCACCGCGGTCCTTCCCCCCGCCCGGTGCCAATCAGCGCCGGCCCGGCGCAGCGCACGGCCCCGCACCGCGGGCCGGGCCGGGCCGGGCCCCGCTCACCCCGGGAGCGGCCCCACGCACGGAGCGCCGTCCGGACGCAGCCTCCCCGCCGCCCCGCTCCGGTGCGTCAGCGCAGCGCGGCCCGGCCCGGCCCGGCCCGGCGCAGCGGGGCGGGACCTCCACGCCGCCCTCCGCCCGCCCGCCCCCGGCCCGTTCCTTCGGGCGCCGCCGTAGCCGCACCTTGAGGTTGGCGGAGGGGCCGCTGGAAGAGCCCGGCGGGGCGCCGATCTCGTACTCGCCCGTGACCAGCGTGTCGCGGTGGATCTCCTCCCGCAGGCACTTCCGCGCCTTGCCGGGCAGCTGGAAGGAGATGGGCCGCGCCGGGCCCGCCAGAAGCAGCAGCGCCAGCAGCGGGGCCAGCCTGAGGCGGGGGCGGCCGGGCGGCGGCAGAGGCATGGCGGCGGCTCCGGGTGCGACGGGCCGGCCTCCGCCACACGTGACCGCGCCACCGCCTGCGTCACGGCGGAGGCGCGCGGGGCGGGGCAGGGCGGCCGTTGGCGTTCGAATCTGCGCCGCGCGCGTCCGCTGAGGCGCTGAGGGGCGTGGGGCGAGCGGCCGGCGGTCCGGCCCGCGTCCCGTCAGCGTCGGTATGGGGCAGTCGGTATGGGGCAGTCGGTATGGGGCAGTCGCGCTGCTGTGTGAAAGCGCGTCTCTTACCAGCGGGCTGTGATATCGTTCAAGGAATCGTCAAAGCGCCCGTTCAGATACGGCGGTGCGCGCTAAGGATACAGGCAGGAGCTCACAGGGCTTTCCCTGCAGTTGGGTGCCTCCCAAGTCTCTCGCTGGAAGATGCACTTGCTTTTTAATTACACGCATATATATTAGAAATTCCAGAGTAATTTCTCCGTCTTCTTGAGCCCAGAAAAAATTGTTGTGCCACATGTCTCCCTTCGGATCCGCACCGTGCAAATACTGTATGATGGTGACAGAGGCATGCCGGTGTTTCTGGCAGCGACTAAAATCGTGATGATGGTGTTCAAGTGAGTTGGAGGCTTTTGTCCTCCCTCACCAGCGTATGGTCAGTTGTACTCATTATTCCGGTGGCTTCAGGCACTGTACTTTTTAGGAAGGTTACTATGTAACCCTGCTGGGTAGCTGCTCTACACCGGAGCCACGCAGCTTTGGGCTGCTGCTCCCCTCCCTCAGCATCCCGCTGCACACGGGCGCCTTGCTCTCCCACAGGGCAGGGCAGAGATAAAAGGCTGAACACAAGCTTGAGGAATGTCAGGGTTTGGGCTGTAAGCTTTCCATCCCATCCTCTTCATTTCTATGGCCTTTGCTGTGCGCTGCATGGTAACTTTCCTTGATGCAGGAAGAAGGAAAAATTCCCAAATATGTAGTTATGATGAACACGCCTGTGGTCAGCTCCTGGAGTTGACTGCAAGTGTTTGGGTTTGTTAAGATTCAAGGAAGGGTGGGAAGAAACAAATGAATAGTTATGTTGCTAGAAATTAAACAAACAAAACTCTTTTATTTCTGTTAGCTTGACTAAAGTAAAAATACAGTTCTTTACTTCTGCATCTTAAACATCACTCTTCTCTCTTTGAGCAGAATTTGTTTTTAGCAACAAGCAGTAATCAAGAATCACTGCAAATTTCAATCTTAAGAGGCTTAAACCGGTGGACTTCATGTCTCAGTGTTCACATGCAGGTGAAGACAAGACAAGCCTTGCCCACTGCATTTTAAAGAACAGCTCCACTCTCTTGCACCCATTGGCTCCTGTTTACTGAGAGAGTGCGATAAAGCCCTCCGTACGAGGAAACAGAACTCAAGCTCTGCTGTGCAGTAATAGCAATAGAACCCTCATGAATAAAATCCCCTCTTAAGCTCCATTTAAACAATATTATAGAGGAACACAATTTTCCTTAGCATAGCACATACCTTTTATGTGAAGGTCGGCTGTGTTCAAATATTCAGTCCATTACTTCATGATCAAAAATGGGATTTCTGGTCATTTGTTGCACATCCCAATGCATGTTTGTTTCTTTTAATCAGTTTGCAAACCTTTCCCTACTTGGACAATTGCATTAGATTGAAGTTCAATCTTACAAATAAATGTTTAGCTGTTTCTGCAGTATGTCAAAGTATATTTGCACAATGAAAACATTTCTTCCATTGCAGCAGAAATGATACTATTTCACAAGCTTTAAGAAATATAGATTACTAGAATCTGAAGATATGAAGTGTTGTAATGTCCTTCCACCGAATTCCAGATGAGACGTGTACAGCACGACAATTCTCTCTGTGCTGAACATTCCTTATACCAGTGATATGCACCCAGTCTGCTAGCGAGTTTAAAACATTCAATGTCTTATTTGCTTGGGAAAACATTGGAGAGATTGTCTCATTCATGTTGAAGTAACCTCATTTTCTAAAACCAAAATGTGAAGTCAACTATTGATGAGAAAATATTTAACAATCCCTTCCTATTGTGTCCATTTCATCATGGTACATTTTTAGATGAGTTACATCTATGACTGACAAATTTATCATCGTTTCTGTTTTAGCTTCTCACGTATTATAATGCATTATGTTTTAAACTGCCACACACACATTCAGTTCTAATTATAAAATTGTATCATATGTGGTTCAGTGCGTTAGCATGTTGCGAAAGAAAGTGGTCCCTGTTCATTGCAGGGGAGTTGGACTAGACGACGACCTTTAAGGGTGCTTCCAATTCAAACAGTTGTATGATTCTATGAACTGCTGAAAGTCTCTTTAAAATCCCCACCTCCTCGCTCTTTAACTGCTTAAAAATGCAATGGGGCAATCTTCATTTTGTGGGTAAAGTAACTTACAGCAGATGGAAAGCATTTTAAGATCCTTTCAGCTACAGGTTTAGAAATAACAGTCTTGCAAGGACATGCCTTAACATTTCCACATATTCAGAGCTGGCAAAATGAAATACTTCCTGTAACTCTGAAACACTTAACAGATGAAAAGAAGAGATTGATAACTCATTACACAACTTTCAGGATGAAACGATGACCTGTTTTCGTGTAATTTGCTGTGTTACACATTGTAGGAGCTTGGCAATTAGGTAAAAGCAGTATCGTTTCTCACTACCATTCATCTGTAGACAAATGAGTGTATGCCCAGAGAAAATATTACCTTATTATCTACCAACATGACATACTGACAAAATTTAAGCCATTTTGTTATTGTGTACATTTTATACTTTTAAACATCCCTAATACTGTTTCATAGCTGTCTTGAAAGTAATTACGAAAGAAATGAATTATTTAGCTTTCAACGCTGGACTTACAAAGAAGTACTGGGAAAAAAATCAGTATTTCTATAGTTTGAAGCAACACTGGAACAATGGTTAGTGAGAAAATATGGCACTTCCCACAAAATTTGTAATTGTTTTCTCAACTGAAGAAGTTAACAGATTGTTGGCAATAAGCTTTTTTCTTTTTCTTTTTGCCATACTTAAATATGTCTTTTTCCACAGTGAATTGCAGAAAACAATTGTCTGCCTCCTTGAAACAATGTGTAGGAATGTCTACAAATGAGGCAATTAGTCTTTTTTTCCTGCTCTGCATCAGCTGTTTTGGCATCTCAGCATTTTCTTGGTTTTCACAATGAAAAGTTAAACAGTTTTCTTCTTAAAACCTACTCTAGACTTGGACACTCTTGCGTTCTACCTTGCACCTAGCAACCTACTATCACCTACTGAGAAACTTCTGTAAACCATTCCGTGTTTTAGTTAAACATGCAAAATTGTTCACTCACTTCTGGAAGTGCAAGGCTTCCTCCTTTAAAGGGCTTTATTTGAATTCCGTGCCAAGATATAACCACCGCAGGCACCATTATGGTCACAATCCAGATGGCGACATAATCCAATCAACTGAAAATAAAGCAGTAGCTGAACAACCATAAATCACCACTGCACTGCTCTGCCTTCTCTGTAATCTGTCCCAGAGACTTCAGATACGGTGTCCCGATCTTACAGCTAAATTAATCACGTTCTGATGAGAGGCATGCGGCAAAATAACCGTTAGACGTCAGTAGGAGAAGCACATGTGGAAATTCTAGCTGCATTTTGTATGAAGATACAAGCTGTTGTTACAACATATGTACACACATCTGTTTCCATTTCACTGAGTTTTGCTTGAAATAATATATTTGGGACTTAATGTAAAACACAAGCTCTTTTGGGGATGTGAAACGTCCTTCATCAAAGACAGTGCAGATTCACTCACGCACCGAGCACTTTGAGGAACCAAGCACCCACAGCACTTCTCATTCGCTCTCTGCTCCCAGCTGGCGCCAATCAGGCTTCCAGCAATAACCGCAGTGCAGGCCTGCAAGGCTCCTTCCTGGCTTTTTGAGGAAATCCTCACTTTACTTCCTGGGAACTTTTACCCACTGCCCTCCTGAAGTTCAAGACTGTTCCTCTTTCCATTTCCAAGCCCTGTTTCTCCAGCTGCCTCAGCACAGGAGCTTGCAGCCAGCACGTGCATCAAGAGAAACTTCTTCTGCAGGCACCAACGGGCAGCCCACCTAGAAGCTCCCATGCTCTCTAGGCCCGGTGCTGTCCCCCTTTAGCCTCTGCAAGGAACATTCCTGCTGCTCAGGGAGGGAATGAAATTACTGTTTACAAAGACTTTTAAGAAGCTGTACAAAACATTGCGTGCAATTTTGTTACGTAAGCCACAACTCCGAAAGACTAGAGATTTGGGGTACAGTCATGTTTTAACAGGCAAACCTTCCGGTGTTATGTCATGCCATTAATTTTGTTTCATTTGTGGAGTCTGGTGCAGTCTCAGGACAAGAGCCCTACTTTTTCTTTAAAATCTAGAGCTGAGTTTCTTCTGGTCTCTGTATCTGATGGAGCTTGGAGCTGTAGCCTCCTTCCAGGAGATGGAAATAAAGATTTTATTCTGGAGACAAGACTGAACTAGACATCTAAAACTGACTGAAGTAAATACCACCTTAGGTTTCTTCAAACCAAATTTATGCTGAAAACAAAGTTTGATCAGCTTTTTTATTGTGTACTGCTGCTCTGCATGGATCGGAGCAGCATCCTCACCCATTAAACAAACGAGTGGAATGAAAAAACATAGCTCAGTAGCACTTTAAATAAGGGGTGGTTGGCTGTGCTAAATGCACATCCCTCCGCCTTTCTCACATATCACTGCCAACTTTTGGGCTAGCTGTGGCTCAAGGAACAGATAGATCCCTCTGATCAGTTATTCCATTGTCCTCTCTGATGATGGCCATTGATAGACATGAGAAGGTCACAACAGAAAGACAGAACGTATTTGCTCCAGCATCAATTTTTTAATAGTGAGACCTAGCCAAAGGACCTCAGGAGAAGACTCACTTTCCTTTTTACAGCACATATTGACTTTTAAAGATCGGAGTGTTCTTATCAGCCGTATAAATTTCAGTGCTTTTTAATATTGCTGAATTCTTCACCTAAAT